GCTCTCCCCGAGCGTCGCCGCGGCCCGAGGCAGTGAGCGTTAGGCGATCCCCGGCAGCTCCGGGCGGAGGTGGTCGAGGATGGCGACCGTGCCCGCCAAGGCTGTATCGGGCCTGTGCTGGGAACAGTCAGTCTTCTTCACAGGACCGCGAAAGGCTGTTAAATTGCTGTCGCAGGCTTTGCTTAGCCTGGCACCCCCGATTGGCTTGCCAGATTCTTCGTTCTGTTTCTCTGAATAGTTCCTGCGTTTATTTTTTTTTTTCAGCTAAATTCAGCACTCAGGAGTCTCTGTTTCGCTGAAAAACAGCGAAGCAGGCACTCCAGTTAAGGGCATGTTGTAGTTTGACTTTATTTACGCTTTTAAATCTACATAGACGACCTGAACTAAGAATGCACCAATTGCAAGGAGACCTTGTGACTACCTAACCGGTATTCCTATCAGACTAGTTTAAATGTGGTTTTAAAATGGGGCTACTGGAATATTTCCTTCTAGGTGTTAAATTACTCATACCTATTGAATCGGGTTTAAATGTCATTTAATCAAGCTGGAGTTTTATTTAATTTGATTTCAGTATAGCATCATTTTCTGAACTTTGTTAGGCAATGTTCAAGTTTTTGTATAGCATCATTTTCTGAACTTTGTTAGGCAATGTTCAAGTTTTTAATTTATAGATCTATGTTACTGTTAATATTGAGCTGAATGTCATGTATAAGTTCCCTCAATTTTTTTCCTTCTAAACAGAATATAATTAGCTATCATAATATTCTAATTACATAGATCATCCCACCAAGGTCAGTAATGGTACTTAGATAGTGTTTCTCATTACTGAAAATTTTCACTTCCTACTAATTACATGAGTCCTATAAGGAGTCAAGGGCTTTTTTGTTTTTGACACGCTGCCTTTGACATACCTTCAGTGTTTTCACAGAATAGCTATTTCAGACTTGCACCATATCTGCATCCTTTTTCCAGTGTTAACCATCTTGTTGTGATAGCTAGCCTCTAGCTGAGAATCTGCCGATAATCTCTTTTTTTTCCTAAGGAGAGATGGTCAAGTGCTCTATGTAATGAAATTGTTAGCCATTTTGTCAGCTGTATCCCCAGCTGTAAGTCTTTAAAATTTAGTAGCTTCCTTTACTTGGACTGCAAGATCTCAAAAGAATGCTTGGATTTTCTTGAGTTTTCATCAAAAAAAGCCCCAAATTGAATGGAACCTTGCAGTCACATCTCTTAATTGGGTCAGAGAAGGGCAGCATGTTGCCCATGCTGAGTTTTCTGCCCATGCTTTTTTAAGTTGTTACAAAGTGGTTCTGAACACTTAGGAAAACTGAAAATCTTTTCATCAAAGGAGCAACCTTCAAATTGAGTAGCCCCATCTAATACATCTTCAGTAGCTTTCTATTTCCTCCAGAGACAGTTGATAGCACCTTCTTTGAGTATTTGATAACCTGATCCTTCTATCAGTGTTGAATTCCTTTTTTCCTTTCAGGCCCAAGTTTCCAGTCTGTGTCTTTGGCTTCCACTTTCTCCAGTTTGCTATTAAGAGATTCTCCTTTTTGTCCTATCTGTAGCATTGATTTCTAGAACGAGTTTTCAAAAACGTTCTCGGAAAAGGAGTGTTGAAACTTTGTTTCAGATCACTGCTCTCTTCACTTTAGCCACAGACTTGCACTTTAGAATACTGGGAATGTTTTCAGGAAATACTTCAGGCAGGTCATAGTAATTGTTCTGTAACGCTCTGCACCCACCAGCTGGTTTAGGTATGCTTCTGTAACAAGAAAAGAGCAATGCTATCTAAACTTCCTCCAATTTTTTGTCTGCTTAGCAATTAACTTTTGAGTATCACTGCTAAGCTTCACCCCTTCCCTAAGGAGGGGGTCTCGGTTCCACCCTGCCAGTAACTGGCTTTCACAAGACCCTTTGGTGATCTGAGTAGATCTGAGAAAACAAAAAGCAAACTATAAAAATCCTGGTTTAAAACTACAAAAGTCTTTGTTTACTCTTTTTTTGGGGGGGGTCTATTTCAGCTCAAGGAACTGGCCTGCTCTGGGTCACACAAGCATCAGCCCTAACACAAGGGAGGGGGTGTGCTGACAGTAACTCCAGTTTGGATTATTTTAGACTAAACTGGATCTTTTCCTTAAGAGAAATCCCACTACTATCCACTAAATCAAATCCATTGAAACTTCACACCCAGACTGAACAAGAAAGTAGGTCTGTTGAACTGTGTATCCGAAGACGCAGATTTAAATTGTAGGATAATTTTAGTGGCGTACAAAATGGTTATCCCCTAGCTATAATGTAGAGGTCATCTCCTAACCAGTTAAGCCAGCAGCTTTTACTTCCCTCCTAGCTCCAATGCTTATCTGAGCACAAAGTTGGTTCAACTTGCTAATCTGGCAAAAAAATAACCCAGTTAAAAAGAAAAAGGTGATAACAGATTTCTGCTTGCTCAGTGAGTTTAGTAGGCTTAATGTGGTGATCCTGTGAGCATCAGTGATAGCACAGAGGAAGCAGCAGCACCTGGTGAGGGGCGCTGAGGAGACAGAGGGGAAGCAGGTCTTGTCCTTCCCTTGCCGTGTCTGGTGGTGAGGATTCAATGCTTCAGAACACATCATCTCACTTTCAGTAATTTTTGTAATCTGAAACAAATCCAAGCTCAGAAGAGTATCACTGTTCTAAAAGGAATTATCAAATTTCTAAAAATCACAAATTTTTAAAATATTTAAGAAACCTATTTCAGTGCTGTTTCACTGGTGTATATATTAATTCTCCATCTTTGGTGCGTGAAATCTTCAGGAAGATCATAGTTGTTCTTACCCCTCTTTATACTTGGCAGTGAAAAGCTTCTGGCAGATGCTGTGGTAAAAGCCTTTCAGTCAGGAATATAAAAACTAACTTTTATGACTGTAGTGGCAGATGCACTTCTCCTTGTTTTTCTTTCATTGTGACTACATGGAAATTTAAATATGCTACCTGTCAGAAAGCAAACACTATCTGTAGCTTTTAGTAGTTTTAAGATTGCTGCTTGACAGAAAGCAGTAGTAGTGTGTACTGGCTCAATTTCAGCCTGGGTCATTTCAGCTGCAGCTCTGCAGACTACAGGATCTTTCAGACGGTTTGTTACTTGTGCTTGTTCATCGCTTCAATTTTACTATGATTATTTTGTTACAGAGAGAATGCTTAGGTTTATTTTCAAGTCTTAACGATGAGTGCCTCAGTACTGGAAGAAAATGGATCTAAACATATTCTTAGCACACAAAAATCCTTAAATGAGTTTGACAGCTAGTTTTGGATTAAAGCATAATTTGTTTCACAGAACAAATTTAGATTAAGGCAGTTTATGCAGCTGACTTAAGGCACTTAAATTGAATGCTGGGCAGGACCAAACCAAAGTGCTTTGCTGAGAATGGTAGTTATAGAAGAAATGCTAGGAAGCAGTATGCAGGTGACATTAGTAGGGGTGGGAAAGCAAGAACAAGGAATTAGTCTCCTTTAAGGAATATGCCTAATGGTTGTGTAGTGACATCTTTTGATGCTTCTCCCCCTCTTTTGTTCTGTTAGGTTGTTGCTGACATCGAACAACTTTCTCTCAAAGCTGTTTAAATGAGAATGTCCCTGGCGCAAAGAGTACTACTGACATGGCTTTTTACGTTACTCTTCCTGATCATGCTGGTGCTGAAGTTGGATGAGAAAGCGCCATGGAACTGGTTCCTCATTTTTATTCCAGTCTGGATATTTGATACTATTCTTCTAGTTATGTTAATTGTAAAAATGGCTGGACGTTGCAAGTCTGGCTTTGACCCTCGCAATGGCTCCCAAAACATCAAGAAAAAAGCCTGGTATCTCATTGCAATGCTGCTTAAGTTAGCCTTCTGCCTTGCCCTCTGTGCTAAACTGCAACGATTTACTACAATGAAACTAGCCTATGTATTCATCCCTTTGTGGGCCTTGCTTGTTGGGGGTATGGTTGAACTTGGATATAATATCTTCTATGTACGAAGAGACTAAGCTATACTATGTGGTTTTCAATACTGAGATTGGTACCAAATTACTGGATTATTAGAGTTTTGCCACAAACTTAAATCTCCAAATTAGAACACCAAGTAAGAAATCAATCAAGCTAGAGACTATCTAAAAGAGACTGAAGACTGAAAGTCAAGTTGTTCCCTTTTTTTATTTTAAAACTGTCATGTATGCTCTTGTAAATAAAGTATTTGTTCAACATAAGCTGTTCTAATATAATTATTATTCTTATAAGGAATAAGATACAGGTTCTTCACGTGTGGGTGGATCTTCTCAAAGGAACCACAAATGTCTACCCCAGAGTGTTTGGCATATTAGGTAATCCTTGGAAAGAGGACTTAGGTTTTCTACTGCTTATGCTGTCACTCAAGAAATAACCAGTTAACAGTAATTTCTATAATGTGCTAAATTTACTTTAAGAATCAGTAACAATTGACAGCTGCCAAATTAGAGGAAAAAAAGGAATAAAGTGACTCAGCATTTTCTTTTTGACAATGAGAATCCACTTCCAGTCTGGAAGACTAAAAATAAGGACTTTTTGTTTAAGCTGCTGAAACAGACAGTAACCAGTATGTTTACCTAGGGAAAAAAGCAAGTAGCTGAACTGTGCCAGCAGTCCAAGATCCAGAGAAGGAGGAGACAATGGTCATCACCTTTCCAGGTGAGAAATCGCCAGTGCTGTCGAAGACTGAAGCTACAGGGCAAGTTCTGTAATGCAATTGTACCTGCAGGGAGTTGTTTTTGTTTTTTTTTAATGTCCTACTATATTAAATCTATAGGGGTGAAGCCTTGGCTTTATGGAGTACTGGCAAACTGAGATGTGAGTAAATGAACTTTTTCAAGTAACAAATGCAATGAATGGGACTTTACAGTTCTGAGGTACAAAAGAATGTCTAGTGAATGAAAAGAGCCCAGGAGAAAGAGTCTAAGGTAACAGGAGGTGACTAAATCGAAGTGTCTCACAAATAAAATTAATTGCATACATTCAACTGTACTTGTCCATAAAAAAAAGCCTTTGTGGAGTATTTGGATTTACTCTTGCTGTTCAGTCACACAGATGTGGGCATAAATACCTGGGAACCATATTGTCGGAGTGTTGAAAAACCTTCATCTAAGAAAAGCACCTGTTCCATTCATATCACAGAATAAAAAGCAAAAAAGCCTTGTTCCCACAATGCCAAAACTCCCCATGCTGCTTAGAAGAGCAGAGCAGCTTTCCTCAGTCAAGCTGATGACATTAACAGATTGTTGTAACTTCACACAACAAATGATGGAAGAATAAAAACTAGCCTCATTAGGGCTTGGTATATTATTAGCAAGATGAGCCACAAATGGTGACTCTGCCCCCTTAATAAACCCCTTCTATTCCACAGATGTAACAATTATCTGAAAGTTTGGCATCTCTAATTAACTGGAATCAAACACAGTTGTTCCAAATCTCCTTTTAATTGCTGCCTCTGATTCAACAGAAAAAGATCAACAATTTCAATGTTTTGGTTGTAGGTTCAGTTTTTTGGGTTTTTTTGGTTTTTTTTTTAAAAAAGGTTTACAAACCTTGAAATAAATGACAGTGATTTTGAAAGCTGAAGTAGATGTTTCTTTCTGGTGTCCTACAGCAGTCACACACAAATTGATTTCCTTTAGCAGAAGATGTTTTTAGGACACAGCCATTTGGAAGTGCACAACTTTGCAAGTTCCTAGTCTTTACAGAGATACTGTGGTAAGAGGAAGATCCCTTTCAACTTAGTATTTTCTATCAGATTTAACTGACCTAAACTGTGCTCACACCTTTGTACATGCAGCCTTGCTTTTTTGTGATACCAGAACTTCATTCCAAAGGGCACTGTAGCCCACTGTGACCTCTCCAGCAGCTGATGCAGGAATTGCATCTGTGTGCAATTACCCTGTTCTCAAAGGCACTCTCCACAGCTTTGAAATGGAGCAAGTTCTCCTCACAGGTTTTCTTCAGTTTACAGACTGTCTTCACCAAATAGAACAAAATGAGCAAAAAGCAGATTTGATGAAGTTGGCAGGGAAAAGGGGCAGCTGATGCTGAGATGGCTCCTACCAGTTTGTGAGAAACGGGCAGAAGGAAATGACGATCCGAGTACCCAGTGTGCCAGAGCTCACCTCCTCTCAGTCACCACACGGGGTGTGGAGGAGGGAACTTTGCCTTCAGCAGCTTTGTTTTACAATGCAATTCAAAAGCTTGCTGTTCTGAAATGAAACTGGAAGTATTTATCATATATTGATGACGTATTATATATGGAGGTATATATTCTACATCATTTATTTCTCTTCAAATCACTTTTACAAGCTTGAACACTTCAGCATGCATTGTAGGCGAATACCTACTTTTGTCTGATTACGGAAAAATACTCAATGCACATGTGTGAAAGGTCATGAAACAAAAATTTTCAATTACCTATTCATACTGCTTTTCTTGATTTGTCAACATTTTAGAAGAGTATCCAGTCTTGTGTTCGTTTTATACTTGAAAAATACAGTTGTGTGATATATACATCCCACCTTCAACAAACTTTAACCTGAATGCTCTAAGAACGTGTGTACGTGCACCCGAAATGCATTGCTAAGTTACACAATGATTTAAGAGATGAAAGCAGTAATATTTTTCTGACATATATGCATAAAAGTACAGAAACAAAATCATAGAGTAACCTCATGGAAATTTTCACATTTGCCCAGTTTAAAAGTTGGGTGACACAAAAGTATTGACGGAAGTGAATTTTATGGGACTCCCAGAAACTCAAGAATTCTAACAACATTAGGAGTTACCTCTTTTAACACCACTGTATTCTGGGAACAAGTAACATTGCTTTTCAGTAATATAGCTCCTGAATAACTGCATCCTCAGAAATAAGGTCTTTTAATTTATTAGCACAGAAAGCATAGCGCTGTCATGTAACACATTGCACCTTTTTTTTTTTTAATTAAGACTGAGGTAAAAATAACTACACTGAGTTGGAAAAAGAGTGTTTGTACCTTTTCATTGTACCTTTATTGTTTCAAGGTTTGAATCCAGTTAGTCTCTCGTATGAGCTTTTTGGGCCTGAACAGGCCTGGGCATCAACTTGCTGCTGAAAAGCATCAGGCTTTGTGGACTAAGGCAATTTAATGAATCACTGCAGTTGGACCACTACAGCACTACTCAAGATTAAAGAGTAGAAAAATCTGCAACTCAGTAACGCTATTTCCTTCAGTCTACCTTTTCTAACAAAACCAACATGACAAGCAGGCAAGTGTGAGAGAAGTCTTCATACAGCGCAGAACAGCAGCACAAGAGCAAGAAACAGGGAAGAAATGAGAATGCAAGCTCAGTTTATCCATGTTATTTTTTCATCTCAGTGTTCCTTTTGAAGTTTATAAAGAAATCACTGCTCAGAGATGTTTCTTAGTCTAAAATTTTCATTTCTAAGCTTTACAAAAGCTCTCAGTTGCATCGATTAGACAGACAAATACCTGAGTGTTATTGCATGCTGAGGATATAGCTTTAGCAGTCTTGACTTCTGTTACATTAGTGTTCCACACACAGGTCTAATTCTAAAGGTTTTCTTCTTCTTGAGACACTTGCAGAGTAGCTTTCTCAGCTAACTGCCATATTTTGTCTCAATACAACCAGATTAAAAAAAAACTGCCACAAAAAGCATAGTCCTTAAAACAGACACCTAAGCTCTACCAAACATTGCACTTTCATTCAGGTGGACTGGAAATTACTTGGTAAAAGAAAACATAATACCAAAATAGTGACTAAAAAATCAAACTTGATAAAAATAGAAGTTTAAACTGCTGTTTTAATCAATGTTTGTATCAGATTATCATAACTGTACATCAAATATTAAAGGACTATTTAGGACTAATGCCCTCATCAGTAGGCTCATCTATCAGCATGACCAGGACATGAAAAGATCAATGTTTAGCTGGCACTCAAGTACAGCACGGCTCCAAAGCAGAGGAAATAGTAGCATCATAGCACAGAGAAAAACAGTGCTTAGGATATCACACACTAAATTTGCAAAGTCAGTATCCCTGATGATTCTAATAGAAACAGCAACGTACACATTGCGAAGTCAATCACTGCTGCTGAACAGAACACAAAATAATCTGCATTTCTAAGAAAAATGGAACGAGCGACTGCTGGGAATCAAAGTTTCCCAAATTTTCCCATGTATGCCGCAATTTCAGCGGGATCTACACAAAGTATCAGTATCGCCTGTTACACAGTTTTTAAAGTGCATTTCATCCGTTTGAGAAAGTAATAAAATGCCAGTTGAACAGAGTCACAACCAAAGAAAACATTCTTGACAGCGTCATTCACAGCAAAGCATAGATCAGTGAAAGTCTGTCCTTGCCACTCCCAACTTGCGTACATTCACAGTAAGGTAACCCACACTGCCCTGCCTCAAGACAAGGCTCTCTTCATATCTGACCACTAGAAAAGATGAATACAATTACACTTGAGAAGCCTAGAAAATTCTTTTATCTCTTGATCAGAGTCAGTACAGTTTCCGTCCTAGCAGGGTCAGGTGGTGGTCTACTATCTCACAACAGTTAATTTTGCTAATGAGCATGGAGAAAACACAGATTTATTTCAATCAATTCAGCATCCTTATTCACATGCAAGTATTAGAAAACAGTCATTTTGATCAGCGAATGCCAGTCCTGTGTTTCTTGGAAGACTTATTCAATTTTCCAAATCTGTAATGCTGAGATCTGTTTCACAATATTCTACTATTTGGTTTCCATTTTCTACATCATTTGCAATGCCAACTTATTTACTGTGCACATGTGTATCTGCTTAAAAATCACTTTTATTTATCACCAAGGAATTCTTTCACAGATGAATACTTAAATCATCACCCTCTGAAATAATACTTTATTTCTAATACTAGATAGAATTAATATTTCAGTTAAAGAAGTATTGAAATATTCACTACAGTAACAAGGAAGGGAAAATCTGCATGCCAGCAGTACCTGTAATGAAAACGCTGTTTCAGAGTCAATTTGCAGGCATTTGGAAGGCTGGGGGATGACACAACACTGAGTAACACTTGTATGTAACACATGAAGTCAGTTGCCAGTGAAATGCAAAAGATCCAGTAATTTGAAGAAAAAAAAGCAGCTACCATCTTGAAAGCTACTGGTAGCGACAGTAACAATGCAATTCTTTGCTACCCACAGATATGGTACCAGTACCTAAGAAAACGGGTCTAAATTTCTGCACATCATGTCATTAACTGGAACACCACCGCAAACGCACAGATGTCATACCATCGCAGTATAGGCAATAGGCCTTAAGCAGGTTTTACCGATCTGCAGAAGAACAAGGGCCAAGAGAGACAACTAAAACACTGGAGATTTCAGCCAAAATAACAGAAATATTTATATATAACTGAAATTCAGGGAGGAGGAAAAAGCAATAAGCAAAGACTAGTTTCCATACATCAGAAGGCATGAAAGATTTATTGCTGAAGCAAAAGTCTGAATAAGAAGTTGTATGTGGCAGGAATAAAGGTTATAGCATAGGACCACTTGAAACCAAAGCAAGACCTTTGTCAGACTAACAAACAATTTGGGAGCAGAAATTCTCAGAAAAGGTACTCCCCTCTTAAAGGGCAACCACAACAAAAGGAATATACCACAAGTAGAGGACAAAACCTTTTTTTTTTTAAAAAAAAAAAGGCAGCAAAGAAAGAAGTATACACTGATATAGCCAGTCAACCCAAACTGTTTACACCTTTGAATACAAAGGGAGTTCTGATAGCCATTTGTAATCCCTGTATTGTTCATATTCTGTCTGCAAGGAATTCTGTCTAAAAATGAAAATCTAGTCTGTCTCAAAAATCAAAAGACATAAAAATTGCAAAAAATGCCACTTTTTTAAAATCTCTTAAAATTCTGAAAGTGATTTTAAAAAAAAAGAAAAAATGGGTAGAAGATGTAGGCAGTTTAGAAACAAAATTTCAGAACTAAGACATACCTGAGCAGAAGTTTGAGGCCATATCAGCCAAGACCACTGAGCGGGTCTTCAAAAAGAAACAACGTTCTACTCTTAAGTGTAAAGTTATGTTTGCTAAACCATTTTCAAAGATTTATTTTTTCAGTCTGGACAGGGCCTATGATGCAGAAAGTTGTGTGCCGTCAAGGGGGATGTATATACTTCACTAAAATCTGTCAGATTTTAAAAAAAAAAAAATACTTGAACTAGAATGAATGATCAGCATACAGATCACCAGCATACAAGTAAGTTTTTGTTTAATTTTGGTTTGGTTTTGGTTTTTTTGTTGGGTTTTTTTTGGTGGTGTTTTTTTTTTTTTAGTAAACTAAATAGTTGGTGGGTTTGTTGGGGTTTTTTGTTTCGTTTTTGGGGGTTTTTTTCTTTTGTTTGGTTTTTTGTTTGTGGGGTTTTTTTAGGAAAAAAGCAGTATCTGTCAAGGCTGGCTTTGATAAAGCTGGAGCCTTCTGCTAACCCACTTGGAAAGCTGCATGCTTGGTGCAAACTACAACCTGCAGCTCTCCTCTTTTACTGTTCTCGAAGGGCTGGCACAGAGAACAGGGACGGAAGGCTACATAATTGTGTATGGATGTTCATAAAGCCAAAGAGATTATGGATGGAAGCTTCCAGACAATCCAGAAAACAAAGGGAGCTAAGACTACATTTCTACTACCAGGAAGGCTCAAATTCTTACATGAACCAGTTAATTTTTCAAATCAGAATCTGCTAGTAATAACTTACTATGTGGCACATGAATCACTTGCTCATGGCATGAGGGGAAAGCAAGATCCCTGAGGCTGCAAAACTGGTAGTAATCTCTTAGCCAGCATTAAAGAAATAGCTGTAAGACTTAAGGACATATTAGCCATATCCAAGAGATTCATGTTTCTATTGCTTCTCTAATACATAATTATGGCTATGTAGGAGTAATGTTTAGCAATTCAAATATTGATTTAATTAATAATTCCTCGACAGACCTATTTTAGATTTAAACAAAATCAGGGCACTTATCTGTCAAATGGCTGATTTTAGTGCCAGGTGTAAGTACGCAGAAACATTTCGAATTAACCTATAAGCAAAAAACACTTGCAACAAAAGGGCCTCAAGTAGTTGAATTAAACATCACCTGGAAATCACGTCGTTCTATTGCTACAAATGAAGCCAAAGTGATCAGTAAGTGCATTAAAGGTTATAAACTGGGTATGTACAGACATACAACTTTCAGAAAGTTACAGGGAAAAATACAAAAAAAAAATTCAGGTACAGAGGGCTTTGGAAATAACAGGCCTAGGATCTTAAGTTTTAAATACTTAGTTGAAGGGCAGGCTGTAGGGCAGTTTACTGCTAATTGTAGCTACCTGAAAAAGCAGTATCATTCAGATGTGTTTGAACTATACAGTAATATGTTACACAAAGAATTAAATAAGTTAAATGAGAGAGTTTTTGCCATTACCACATCAGATGCTAGCTAGCCTTGAAATCCTCTTCCCTCAGAACACAGCTTAAGAGAATTCAGGCGTTCCATATGTGGTGAGAGAGGAGAACAGTTAACTTGGACACCACTTACTTTCTCAATGAAACAACTCTTGCTTCCAAACTGGGACTCATGAGGAATCTTCCTACTAGACACATCTGCAACTATCTTTATTGCCTGGCGCTACCAGCATAGGGAGCAATTCAAATCCAAACGTGTTTCCGTGAATTACAGATCACTGCTAAAGCTGAGGCATTTAAATAGTCTTTGTTTTAATTTTAGTCCGATAACTGATTGAAGTTGAGGAGGATTTCTGCTGTTTGTTGGTTGTTTAATGCACAATGGAACTGTCCTAACTGTGGCTTGAGCAGGGGGAAGAGCCAAGCCTGGAAGGGAGTTTGCTCCCTCATGCCAGCTCCTCTACAGAGATGCACACAGTTACTGGTAGCGCTCCTGGAGTTGCCCAACTGTCCTCCACAGCAGGGGAAGGTTTGTCTCTCTGTTCCACATGAGCATCTGACAGCAGGAGTTTGGGGAGTGCCTTTAATGAGCAACTGCAAGGAATCCTGTGAAGGGAGGACTGATTTTGCATTCTGACTAATCTCCATTTACAAAGAATGCCTCAGCTCTACCTCCATTTGCTACAGCTCCTTACCCCACAATGGTGTAAGGGCATCCTATGCATTAGTGCAGGTAGAAACATAACCATTTCGAGAGGCAGTTTAACTGAATTATTTTTTGCAGACCCAAAAATAAAACCAATCTGTTATTATGAACCTTTATTAAGCGGCTCACATTTCAGTATAAATCACACTAAAAAGATTTTTAAAAAAGATATTTACACTACAGTGCTGACACATTTAAAATGAAAAAATTGGTATAAATAAGCTCTATGGAAAAGCCTGGAATTGTCAAAAAGAATTCTGGCTCATCTTACAAAAAATATATATGTTAAATGTCAGCTCTACTCTAAAACCTACAACTCAAAATTATTTAAAGACTTCTTTATGTTAAACCTGCAGTGTTTACAGTGCATCTGGCCCTAAGTGCTTTGATACTTCACAGTTATGGACAGGCACTGAGGAATGTTACAAAGCTACATAACTATTTTCTGTAACAGATGCGAAGGCAAGTCACAAACTTGCCTCCCAGAATTTATGAATCTTTACATTATTACATCATTAAGTTTAAAAAGGAATTTAAAACCATATATACAAATTTAGCACAAAAAATCATCCTCTCTTTGTCCATGCAATTTTGGATATGATGAACTATGTTGTCTTGTATCATCTGGATGTATGTGACCTCCAGGGCATAACTTGCCTTGTAAGTCCTTGTTGCCAGGTTCAAATTTAGAATCAGTTTCCAACTTAAATGCCGTCAATTCAACATGATCCAATCTAGTCTGAACATTCTGGCCCCTGACGTCATTAGGTGCCAGTGTCTTTTCAGCAAGATCAACATTCATGGGTTCTTCTTTTATTCGGTGAGATGCAATAGGTTCATGTTTCATCGACATAAAAACAGATACTTTGTCTGCAGAGCATCTGAAAATTTGGTGTCTTCGGAGGTATTTTTGCTCATTGTACAAATTCTGCTGTCAGTCTGAAGTCCAATAACCGAAGACTTAGAGTCTGCAGAGGTCCCTGCTTCAACAATACTTGTATTTTGAGAAAGTTCTTCCTCTGAATGATACAGCTTGAGCCGGATGTGCCAAGCCAAACTGCACACAGCTGAAACTGTTTTGAACTGGTGCACAACATTCCTTGGGATAAAATAAATGTCATTATCGAATAACTGAATTCTGGCATATCGAATGCCTTCCCTTCGCAGTTGATTAAGTTTTGCATCATCAACCCACTGGACACACTGGAAATAAAAAGGGAGTGAAAAAAAAAAAGTGAAAACTCTGATTTAGGACTCAGGACACCTGATCGACAGTTCATAGCATGCTTACCTGTGAGAGTGGAGGCTCATGCAAATCTAATTGCATTCGCTGAACTACCTCTAAGAAGTCTTCAGCATGAAAACAAATTACATCTTTGGTTATACGAGGCTGCTCAGACCTACAGAAAAGTAAGAATTGCAGTCAGAGGCTGCAACTAACATGCTACAGAGAATAATAAAGAAAAATCTGCAAGCAAGGATAAAGCAAATGATAAAAAACCCAACAGTTCTAGCATAACCTACATTTTGAAGAAAAAAGGTTGACTAAAATGGCTAATTCTCAAACACAACTTCACTAAACTGGTTAAACAAATTAACCACAATTTCTTTACAAGTGGCAGTAAAAGCAGCAAGGGAAGTCAACAAAACTGACTATTTTTAATCTTTTATTTTTAATTGACCTCTGTCTGCCTTGATGCTGAAAGACAGATGCCCCAGATCTGTTGGGCTTACTCTGTCAACATTCTAGCCCGATACGCCCATCAGGTACCTCAACGTATGCAACAGTCTGACTAGCATTATGGCACACATTGCTCGGTACCTTAGCTCGAACACCTTGTTCAGAGTTAGCGGTAGAGCTGAATCTACATTAAGCTGCCACAATGCTAGGAAGCAGCAAATACTGACATCCTATACAAAACATTCCCTCAACACGCATTCCTATTTCTGCTCATTAGAGCACTACAGAAGAGCAGAATCTGAATTAGGGTTTGTCTCCATATTCAAGTCATTACAACTCATCTCTTGTCCCACAACATCTCTCCCAAAGAAACGCACACTATTTATATAATTCCTCTAGAGACAATTTCCAGAATTAGCTAACAAAAGGCAAAACCAGCTACGATCCTTATCACTTTCTGATCTAAAAGCTAAACTCAGTTCTTCAGCAGAAACATATAAAACTAAGCTCCGTGTGTGTGTTTGAGGGATGTTCGGTTTTCAAAAGTTTTTTTTTTTAAAAACGTCGTGATATGAAGATTTAATTTATCTAGGCTAAATCTGACACTGGAGTGGTTTTGCAAGGAAAATGTATCAGCCACCTCCACCCCTGCCTCAAACAGGGCCCTAAATTCATATTCACTGGGGCCAGCAAAACAGTTTGACACGTTTCAGACTTAATTTAATGGTTGTTCAAGCACACTTTTTAAAAGCAAGATGATAATCAATTTACATAGAGAGATATACCGCTATTAACATTCTAAGAAGCAGGCAATGATGTATAGCTCATCAGGCTTTTTAAACTGACAAGACATGTTTATTTTATTTAGGTCATGACCTCAATAAAGCAAAAAATAGCCTTGAACTGGTTATTTGAGGGGGGAAAATCCCAGATCAACTAATGAAAGTATGCTAGGGAGAATTTTCAGACCACATACTATACTTTCAATTTCACAAGAATTAAAATGTCTCTCTATATTTTGGTCTATATACTCCTGAAGAGGATTTAAGCACTGAAAACAAAAAGCTTACAGAAACATCTCTAATCAATGGCATAAAAAAAAATTAGCTACATTAATCTACTTCTTATAATGAAGATATGTTTTTTATTTTTAAAAAAAATATACATCTGCATCTGGAGTTAACAATATTTGTAAATGAAGTTAAGAATTAAAATAAATACAAAGAATATTTGCATACTAAAAGAATTTCAGTCCAAAGCAATGTTTCCACAGTAGTGTCCTCTGTATGTTTTACACATTATATAGGACAAAGTATTGCTAATGATTTTAAATCAATCCTTTTCTCAATCCCTATAATATATACATATGCAACAGTATGTGTTACCAACTCTGTCCTGCAATTCTGTCAACAAAACATGACATTCCTTTTGCAAACACCACAGAGAAAAATTATTGCCAAGTCATTTTTAATTCTACATTTGCAGATTTGATATTAAGCACAACTTTTGAAATTATATTTTCTAAAACCTAAAGTTTAGAAGGTGTCATCCCTCCCACCAAGCAAAAGAGTAGCAGAATAGTTCAGTTATATGTCCAAAAAGACATTAAATCCGAACAGAACTATAACATGACTTCAGAAAAATCCATTTAAGGCCCTGCTAGACCGCTGCTAGAACTATTTTTGGTAATAACTTTTTTCCTTAACCTCATTCTTCAAAAGGGTTGGACTCTTTTTGCTGTAACTTTTCAAAACACATTCAAGACTACAGGTTTTACTGTGAATATTTCTGACCTAATGCTTAAAGTCTGGCAATATATAACAAAATTTTACGACCATAGACAGAAGCACCAACAACTTCACACTCTGGAAAACAAACTTGAAAGATGCTTGCTGAAGCACAGGACAGAGGAGTTTCATTTTGCCAAGAATAATGCCATGAGGTGCCTTTTGCTGTCCCTGTAAAAGCCCACCCAAATTTCCCACACAAAAATCTTTCAAAGTTTCCATAATTTAAAATTTCACTGGCATTTCCTAAGTTCTAAAGCACGCTTGATATCATTTACAAAAACGGCATTAAGTAATCAGCATGATCACAACACCAGCGTTTATCAGACTTCAATGCAGTGCAGTCGTTAAAATGCTTGCTAGCAAGAGCCAGAGCTCTTTTAGAGTTTGTAAATACTCACAGAAATAAAAAAAAAATCATAATCCAGTAATTTTACAGAATATCTCAAATCAAGAGCTTGTCATATTTGGGAAAGCAAAAGTTTTTTTTTGTTCTTCCAAATACTATGTGTTTTGTGTCCAGTTCTTTCGCCTATCCCCAAAAACCTGCTTTTTGCCTTTCAACACTTCTGTTCCTGTCTTTTCCAAAAGACACCAGTTATCCTACCTAACATTAACATTCATGCCTATCAACTACTACATAAATCCCACTTTCTTTAAGTCTATAGCAACTTTTTGATTACAAAGCTTTTTTTGCACACCCAATTCATTCTTATACTAACTAAATGCAAACTGGCAGCTCAGTTCAGCAAGTCCAGGAGTTACTTTATTCTCTCTTCACAGAAAACATGAACTTTATACATGGTATCTCATCATTAAAACGTGCATTTTTACTGCCATAGTGCTCTATTCACCCCTGGAGTATCTCCAACTTTCACTTTTGTTCAGCTACTCAAACAGATTTAGAACAAACACACACCACATCCAGATTTTTCAAGACTTCCATGCATGTTGTTTCTTTTAAAATACATCTACCCACAGCTTATGAATTACAGTAAAGCTAATACCTGAAATTATTTTAATGTGCTACATTAATTAATGATGCTTCATTATCATAAGCCCCAATTAGTTCTCTTCATTTAAGTACAATGAAGTGGCTTTTCAAAATTATACAAAAAAGTGGAAAGGGAAAGGAGAAATTATCATTTGAGGTCAAATCAAGCTCAAAATACATAATTTTTATTGTGTTGATTGTGTTACATATCTTCCTCCTCTACATATGTCAGTCTCAAATTTTTTATTCTGCATTAAGATACAATTTCAGTCCTTACACTGAAGTGAAATGCTGATAGCTACTTCTTTCCCCCCCAACTGAAGTACTTTCAAGTTTGTTGGGCAGTTTTGCCTATTTTCAGATCACTTTTGAATCTACATAATTTTTATTTTGACTAATTCCATTTATTTTTTCAAGTTTAAAAGGAATTTTAATGGAAGTTGAATAGACACCCTTTTCCACAAGTTCCAATGTATGACAGAAGATGATGGTTTAGATCTGAAAAGCAAGAAAACTTATTTTTAGAATGTAAGTGAACATGTAATGATTTCCAAGGGAGGAAGACCTTGTTATGAAGGTATAGGATGAGAATAGGAAGTTCCCACAGACATTTAAATTACTACCAATTTAAATTTTTATTAATTTCCTCAGGCACTCAAATCTGGCGAGTAGGGATTTGTTTGGGATTTTTTTACTCTGACAAAGCTTTGAGAGTCTGATTCTCTCTCATATGTGCAAAGTTTAAATTACAAAAAAAAATAATCAGACCTACACAATATCTCAGCTCTTGCTGTGCTACCACTGCTCAGTCTTAATTCACTCCAGCTTCTCATAATCAGAGCAAGAAGGAAGTTTAAGGCTCCAGGTATCAGCAACTTGAAAATGAAGAAAACTGCAAAACCTCATCGCCCAAAATGCGAACACATTAACATCTGACCAATCCAGTTCTTCCCCAATGGCAATTAATCAATTTTCAATCTCAATGAACTCATGCTCTATAACACAAATCTGCATCATTTCATCCAAAGGGAATTCACCATCCTAATTTCTAGACTGATACAAAGAGCAAAAGGTGGTTTTAGTGTTTACGTATGCAAAGGTAACCTCCAAAACTAAGGTCATTTTCCCAAACCAAGGTCAGAAGGTCCTCAAAAATGCTTCTTAGATCTAGGCCGGGAAGCCCGTACGATTATGAACTTTTTATTTGGCTAAAACGTAAACAGCTTCAAATGAGATGCATTCGTTTCCTAAGTCTCATATGGGAATTCCAAAGACAGACACCAAAGAATACCACACAACCTCCAACAGGACTCTTCCTAGGTGATCTACCATAAACAAACCAGGGTTATAACAGCCATGACTTTGAAGCTGAAGCATAAAAATTCTGCTCATCTCCACACAACACAAAGAATCACCAAAAGGTTTTCCTGTGCACCTCTGAGGCAGAAACTCAGGTCAGTCCATATGTGCTATTTAAAGCAAAACAAAGTGTGAAGTGTTTTTACATCCAACATTAACTCAGTTACAGCAATTCAATTATAGCTACTAAACTGTCATTGCAAGGCACCTTTCTAGTTTCAACCACACACCAAAACTGTATGCAATCTAGCAGAGGGCAGACAAACACATTAAGTGCACAGACACAGAGGGGAAAAAAGAGTCCAGTATCTATTAAGTCTTCATTAAATCTGTAATACTAGATTGAGCTGTTCTGTGCTCCTTCTACCAATTATAAATGGAAATTCAAGCAAATATTTTTTCAAACACCTAGATGAATAAGTCAATCAACACATACCACTCTCCACAGTGCACAGCCTTCAATACTCCCACAGCAGCTGTAGTCTGTCGTTCAAAACCTTGTCCTATGTGATCTGCATGGGCTCGTGTCCGGTCCTCAAATAGCATTTCACGGGGTTCACTAGTTCGAGGTAGGTACTGCAAGTTTTTTATTTCATTGGTAGTTCTGTATAAGAAAAACAGTATTAATGATAAAGAAATTTCTCTTAATTTAATATTCACCATAGCCAACAGGATTGTTTTTCTCCCTTCAGTCAGAACATATAGTCAGATCAGAAAAACAGTAACACTTAGGACAAATTAAAAATGTAATGAGCTATGCAAAAAAAAAATCAGAACACCTATGTAATTTAAAAAAAAAAAAACACACCACCACAAATACCTGTGATAGAGATTGCATATTCTGGTTTGTATGTTTCTGAATAATTTATTTCTGTTTTTAAACAGGGAGTATGTGTTTTGAACACTATCCATGAAATAACTTTATTGTGCATGCTGCATCTGCAGAATTATGATCAAGTTAAGGCCTTTCAGTCTTGACTTCACATTTCAATATCTTGGACAGGAAGAGCTGCTTGCCTTAGGCTGGACTTTTCAATAGTGGCAGGACAAGAGTCTGGACCGTTAGTATCAAGCAGTCTAGTATGTCTTACTCTGAAGTTGGATAATGCATTGGTCAGTTACAGATTTGTGCCGAGGAGGTGGCATTGATTATTCCGCTTCTGCAATGAAAGAAGGGTTCAAACGTGGTTTGTGTCTTGGGGTTTTTTTTTGTTGCTGTTGTCTTGATTGAATGTTTGTACTTAATTTGCAGTGATGTAACAGATTTAAAAAAGGCACAACTCTTCTTACACTGTGCAAGTCAGACTCATTTATGTTGGAATGGACCTCTAGCACTCATCTAGCCCAACCCTTGTGTCTGACTTCCTCAGATTTCTCTGTGAATCAGCAAGTCACCTGTCAATTATGTAAATACATGGTTTAGTGTTTTACTGTGGTTCTGCAGACCTGCTGCAGAACACTTATCCTGGTCTTTCAGACCTATTTAGGAACAATTTGTTGATGATATGAGTTGGTGATTTGTTGCCCTATTCTCAAAAAATAAATCTGAAGCTTTTAGTAAACAAACATTGAAAAAGGTAAGAAAAGAACTTGTGTTAAATGCCTAAATTTAAAATAAGGGAGAACTCATTTTTAGTGACATACTACTTTGTGCTAATGAGTAAAATTAATTCTTCAATTATAATACTAGTAGTATATTGGCTAAACATTGGTTCTCTTTCTTCAAAATCTTAGGTGTTATTTTTTTAATAAAAACCTGGCTGGTGGTAGTTGGATTGATGATTGAAAAGGAGCAAACTAAATTTTACTCAAAACAGCTGGTCTTTCTCTGAATTTAGAGAACCAAAAAAAAAAAAGATTTTGCATAGAAATAACTAAATTTTATTAAGGAAGGATCACTTTTATACTGGGTCAACGCTTTGTAGTATTGAAGTGCCACATGTGTATCTGTTTTGAATAGCCCAGTAAAGAAGTGAGAACATGCTTATTGGCTACAGGAAGTATGAGTGGATACAGGTGAACAAAAGGAGTTTCAGTTAATATCGTGGGATATAAATCTTGTCGTAGTATGGTCAATAGGGCTAAACAAGAGTACGGTGCAGTCTTCTGGGTGGTATAATAAAGCCACACCGAGTTGCAGAGTTTGAGTTAAGGACAAAATGTGTCTTCAGGGTTAATAAGCCTGAACAGGTAATACCTGATTTAACCAGGTAGGCCCATTTCACTTGGGTGCCAGTACACCAGGCTCCTACTTCAAGAAAATGGTACAAGAGCATGAATATTGGCTTATGCAGAGCTACCTTGGTTCTTAGACTTTAGCCTTCATTCTCTTCCCATGGAGGTGCTAGAAGCAATAGTCTGTTTGCTTTGCACTGTCTGGCCCCAGTGCTGCTGTACTTGGGGAACCAGGCTGCGTATTTATGTCTCTTCTGTATCCCTTTTTGTATAGTTACTCTGTAACAACTCGGATAAACGGTTTGCAGATAACAAAGGGGATTGAATTTCCCAGACTTGATAGTGTTTGGAGGAAATCTTTGTGAAGAAAACCTGAAGCTGTTACCTGGAAAACTAAGATGAGTGACATTAAGACATTGACTATAGTAGAGTCTTTCTTACTGAGAATGGTGCTGCACTCCTTTGGTTAAGTCCCCAGCTGTGGTGCCAGTATGAACTAAGGGCTGCTGGCTATCAGAAGTCACACTGGCAAGCACAGAATTATGTGCAGCTAACTAGGAAGAGCACTGCATATTTTTTTTAAGCTTTCACTTGGCTACAAAAGTGTGTGAAGTTGACTTCTGCAACTTATGTAAGGGTGAAGAGGCATGATAAAGGCTTGGTGACTGTAAAAGTGCATCCACCTGGGCACTGATAGCTTTGTACTGTACACTGATTGCAAAGCTAGATTCAGAGTCCACTTTTGAGTTTTTTGTGAAGTTCATCTTGAATATCTGAGGTATGAACTCTTACTTTGTACCTACCAAACTGCATTCCAGAAAAATAAGAAGCCACAGCGTAGAAGTGTGCAACTTGTCTGAGACAGACAGATGGTTGCCATATAAGCTGAGCTTGAAGATCTGCAGTTACCTAGCTTCATCCTTGTTTTAATAAGGTGCAAGAAAGGAGAATATAAAATGAACCTCTGAGAAGACCACAAACATATATGTTTTTCTGGTGTTAACAATGTAGCTAAAAAGGTTATAGCTCTTAACCTAGCTCCTGGTGCTCCTTTCTGTTTTTTCCCCTGCTGTCTTCCCTTTTGAAGGTTATTGCCTCCTTCGATCTGCTGTCTGAGCTGCAGGCTTCTAAACCCACTGCAGTCCAAGTCACAAACTTTCAAAATACTAAAGCTAACTTTGCACCTCTTCAGTGAAACAGTTCAAAGACTAAGGGCTAAAACGTCTCAGCCAGCAGTTCTGAAGGAAAAGAAATTGCTGGCACAATGTAGTGGTGAGTAGCTGAGGCAGAGCAGAAGCGATAATGTTTTCAGGTGGTGCTGCTGACATTGAAAATAGATGTGAATCCACAGAGTTAAATTACGCCTGTGATTGTTTTGTACCTCCAGACCAGTTTAAAGTAGCTGAAGCACATTCTCAAATCTTCATCTCCTTTTTAACTTGCTGGTTTAAAAGTAGGGGTGGTGGTGGTGTGTTTTGTTTCTTTTACCCCAACTGTTGTAACAATAGAGATGCAGAAATTAATTACAAATTCACAGCTGTAGCTTCTAGGCATGTATTCTACCTGGTGATGGGGATAACTTGCAAAATTTTTTAAATTCCTACTTTAAAAGTCTGTTGGGCTTCTTTTATGTCATTCTGACAGGAAAAGCTTTTGATAGTAGGCTCTATATTAAAAGTTGACATTGATACTTAATTTCATTGTGTCAGTATCTTTGGTCAGCTGAGATCCTTCCTAATGGTGACTTCCATGACCACAGATTATTTAAAAACAAAAAAAAAAGTTCAAAACAAATAAACCCCATAGTGAGTGGATGTGAATGATAATCACTATCCTTCTATGTATTTCATTTTTAAGTGAAAGTAAAATATTCAGCTCTCATTCTTGGATTCCAATAGTTGCTGTTTAACTCTGCCAGTACTTGTGGCTACGTAGTTAGAGTAGCTGTTAACAGCCAAGCTTCAAGTAGAACTCTTGCTCAAAAATTCAGTAACTATTTGCCAAATGTAAATTTATGTAGTGCCAGTGTTTTTAAGGTCAGGAAGTCAAAAGTGATCCTGAGTTTTCTGGGATCAAAATTAAAGATCTTTAAAGCTGGTTTCACTCATCAAACTTGTATTTAGTATGCATACCATATAAATAGTACAATGTAAGTGTGGTGATAGTATAACGATAGTGTATTATAAGTGAACACAGATTGTAAGTAATTTGCTAATATTCTATCACTCTTCTTGTGTAAATTGAAGGGTGCAGGGAATCTTTACACACACTGTAGATAGTTTTGACATTCATAGACACATGTAATGTGTAGTGTGTGTATACACATACATACACACTAGAGAGATTGAGTGCAAGATGGAGACAGAGGAGCTTTCTACCAAGGCTAAGTTTGAATTTTTTACTTAAACCATTTCTTCCTGCACTTTCAATAAGCTCTGAAATTGTTTGTCACAGATATTTTGATTATTTATTAATCATTTACATCTTTAATATCTAGTGCAGTGTTTTCTCTGTTGAAATGTCATTCTTTTTTTATAGCAGGAGCACATGTGTTTTGTAATGGGAAGCTCTGGCACTGTTTCTTTTCCACAACACTGACTTATTAAAAATGACTGACCCGTTGAGTGAATCCTTCTGAGGAAGAGACATTTTACAGTACACTTTTATGACCTAAGCCCAAAAGATTGATGTTGGATCATTCTCATTATATGAAAAGATATGCTATTGCCTTTGGGACTGTTGGCCATCAAGGTATTAGTCTAGTTCTGATGTTCTCTTTGAAACTGACACGTGATCTGAAAATTATTTTATAGTATCTACAAAAACTTTGATTATGGCTTTTAGACCTTTATAATGTAATTACATTTTGACTGCCTTCATGACAACCAGCAAGTAAATATTTCTGCCTGTTAAATAGAAATCTATATGGAAAGCAGCATGCTTTTCTTTTAAAGTAGCTGCCTGTTTCCTCTTAATGCTGTAGTAGAAAATCATGGATATCTGTAACTGAGCAAGAACCATTTGCCATGTTATAAGTAGATCTTGGGAGAAAATCAGTGGGTGTGACTGGTTTGTGGTTTGTTTTTTTTTTTTAAACGAAGAAATTCTAACTTATACACAGACCTGATTTTAAGACTCTTTGGTATTAGAGCAGCCATATAGTAAAGAAAGTCTTCACTGTGTAGCTGTGGGGAAAAGAATACTGATCACAAATTTTTCTTGCGTGTCAGAAGACATGGCTATATCTTCATATTTCCATACCACAAAAGGCTATGTGTCTTTGTGTCATAGTTTAACCCCAGCTACCGACTAAGTACCATGCAGCTGCTCACTCACTCCCCACCCTGGTGGGATGGGGAGGAGAATCGGGAAAAAGTAAAACCTATGGGTTGAGATAAGAACAGTTTAATAATTGAAATAAAATATAATAATAATAGTAATGAAAAGGAAGATAATGAAAAGAGAGAGAAATAAAACTCCAGGAAGACAAGTGATGCACAATACAATTGCTCACCACCCACTGACTGATGCCCAGCCAGTTCCCAAGCAGCGATCGGCCAACTCCCCCCAGTTTATATACTGAGCATTGACATGCTATGGTATGGAATATCCCTTTGGCTAGTTTGGATCAGCTCTCCTGGCCACGCTCCCTCCCAGCTTCTTGTGCACCTTCTTGCCGGCAAAGCATGGGAAACTGAAAAGTCCTTGACTTAGGGTAAGCACTACTTGGCAGCAACTAGAATATCAGCGTGTTATCAACATTATTCTCGTACTAAGTCCAAAACACAGCACTGTACCAGCTACTAGGAAGAAAATTAACTCTATCCCAGCCAAGACCAGGACACTTGTTTCCTGAGCCTGAATTATTGTTTATGTTCCCTGTATATGAGGTAAGGATCTCATGTAGCATTTGTATCAGCCAGGAGACATCAGAGA